TCATTTAATCTCAAAGCACATTTTTAAAGTGAATCGTGGAGACATGTTTAGGGCAAAATGTCTGTAAGTAACTATTAAAACAATGACGTTTTTATTTCCCCAGCCTCCACTAATCACTGAATGCAATACAGTAATAAAAACAACAACACAACAGCAGGTTATAGTGCCTAGTATTTTATTTTCCTGAAGACAATTTTCGTACAATAAAACATTCCATCACAATCCAAATGAAAGTCCACCCTAAGAGAATTCACCTACCATGTAAACCTATGATCCTGATTTAAATATTATTTGCAATGAACAATTCTCTCCCAAAGCTGGAAACCAGAAAAAAAAAATCTGATATTTTAAAACAATGACATAATTGTGATATGACAACAGAAGGTGAACTTCTATTTTATGTGAGTTTGAAAGTTGAATAGTCAAAGATTGAGTGTTAGCCCCTTAATCACATTAAGGACTTTGCTTCTTGTTTTGAGCTTTGGAAGAGAGCAGCTCGGGTGATCACAGGATTAATGAGAAAGCAACTTCCACTTAAGCCCCAAAACGTCCCACACCTCAGGTACGCAAACATCGCTGATGAATACAAAAACAACCAGCAAAAAATATTCTAGAAGCCACTGTCTAGATAAAACGGTAAGTTTAAAACGTGATGAGAAAATAAACCAAGTTATACTTGTGTAATGCTTTAGTAATTGTTAGTTGGCTATTGAAACGACATGATAGCATGGTTAATTTATATTACACCGCTTCCCAACACCTTTGCCGACCTAACGCTGAGACAACTACGTAGCATATGAGAGTGCAGACAATTACTGAACATGCACTTGTTTACCTGTAGAATATGCAGTTATTGAAGCAGACACTGCAGCTGTCATTACTATTTATCCCTCTGCCTTTGTCCCATCTATCTACAGCATGTTTCAACCCTTTAAATACTGTTTCTGTTTGAGGTAAAGTAACTGCTTCAGCAGTTCAGCCAGACTTGTCTTCAGCCTTGCCACAGAAGGAAACCATTGCATAATAAAAACTATGAAAGCAGTGACAAAAAGAGCCGTCTCCCCAGGACTATACATATACACATTAAAAATCTCTTTTCTACAATATGGAACCATCCACAATTGCTGCCACAGTCCACTATCTGTTAGAGCATTTTCTGATATAGAAAATTTACAGTATCGCACATTGTCGGCCAACAGAGCCTAAACACACTCTGCTATGAGTCCCTGTCATTACAGCGTCCTACAGGAGCTCTTATATTGCTTTTACATTGTCAGTAAGTGACCATCTGTGAGGCCACATAGTCCTCAATTGCATTAAAATAATCTAGTGGTGTCACAACATCAACAGACACTGGATATGGTGCATGATCAGCAAACTGCTAGAACACAGCGATTATCCCTTTACCTGGCTGATAATGCAAATATGATGGGTTTTTGACTGGAATTATCAGAACTTTGTCACACATTCATCAAACAGGGGAGAGTTGTGTGTGTGTCAACATGAAGCCTGCTTTGTGTTGCTGCACCAGAGTGAAGAGCTGAGAGTTCAGCCTGAACGAAACATGGACGTTTGTATGTCTTCATGCGTCATCTTGAGCTCCGTGTGCAGCTCGATTAACCGGCGGCACCACGAGAGTCAACAACTAGACTAGAGTCTAACCTGCCATCCCTGAAACCCATCAGCCTTTGGAGCCACTTGTGCATCTCAGGATTTCTATTCATAGTTCCTGTTTTTTTTTGTTAGTTTCTCTGCGAGCCGGCGTGCAGCCAGTGGCAGTGGAAGAGATGGAAAATCATTTACAGTCTCAGCAAATCCCTTTGACTCTATCAAATGAATCACCAAATATCAGCAGTGCCATAAAAGAACATGTGGTTGTGGATTTTTCCCACAATAATGAGATGGGCACTAATAAAAAAAAAAAAAAAAGACCATTACATGACCACTCTTTTTCCAATTTGTACATACTTAACACTATTATATACCATAGAAATATATAAATATTATAAAATGTCTTATTTTTTACTATGAGCAAGCATTGGCATGCTATTTGATTTCAGTGAGCTCTATTTCTGCTCTAGTCATAAAATCAGTACTTTGCAAGATAGAGAGACGAGGTTTTAGCAACTTTGAATGTGTAAAAAAGCTGAACAGGAGGTGATGTTTTGGCTGCGGTCTATGTTGTTTAAAATTAGTACTGCTCAAATTGGCTATGTGGCAAGGAAGTGAAAATAAAAATCTATGGGACAGAATCTGAGGTTGGAACTGTGTAACAGTCATATCGGAGGCTAACTGAGGCCAGTCCGGTAGAGCATACTTCCCTTTTCACAATTAGTCTGTCCAGAACACACTCCCTCCGAGGTCAGCTTGTCAGGGGAGCTTAACATCGATCTTTAAGGGTAAACCATAGTGCTGCGGGACGGTTGGGCGATGAGTGTGTGCAGGGCAGAGCAGCCATCACGACGGCGGGGCGTTCTGGTTCTGGTATATGGATGCCTTGTCTTTCAAAAGGGCCAGACATAGATGACAGCTCCAGCTCCCTGGATGCAAAGATGACAAAGAAAAAAAACGTGACATTTAGAGCCATTGTTGCACCGTCTTTAGCAACATTTTAACCCTTTCAGCACTTAGTAAATGTGTATTCCTTATACACTTCAACACTAAGTAACTGCTTGAAATTCAAGATCAGATATGGTTTTGATTAATCACTCAAATTCTTTAGTAGACTTCACATCATTACATATCTGGAATCAATCAAAACTAGACAAGTTAAACATATATGGAAGTTTACTGTTGTCATATACATACAGGTGAAATACATGTGTGAAAAAGAAAAGGTAAACTTCATAATTACTAGGAATATATGCAATTAATTATCAGTTCTTATATATTGAGAAATCAGCCAAAGTCTTGTAATTAGTTAGTTTTGATCGCTTATAAACATTTTGGAAACGAGGTAGCAAAAATCCTGCCTTCTGGTGATTTTTGGGGTCAAACGACATCATTTTACTTTATTTGGATAATTTATTTCATGACTGAATCACTTGTTCTCATGCAAGGATTCCCACTGATAGACAATCAAAATGAATGTAACAGAAAGTGGCCATAAACCGGAGCCTGCTGTACCGGTCTGCAGTGTTGAACGGGAGTCGTAATGCCAGCCCGGTATAGCGGGCTACACTGCTGAAAGGGTTAAACTAGTAACCTCATGAGCCTGAAGTACAGTGAAGCCCTCTAACGGACACAGGAAGAAACAAGAATACTGAATCTCAATAGTTTTTTGGCACAGAATGAAATGTGCACATAATAAAGCATCAAAAACTGTCAAATCTAATCTTACTCTTAACTCCTATCAAGCTAACCTACACCACAACTAACACTACTACTATTAAATTAACTTAACTTAAACAATAATGCTGCAAGTGTTGGACTATTCCTCTACAATAAACACGAGGACCTTCAGCTTCTTCTGGTCAATGACAAGAAGGATTTGAGGAAAAAACATGTTTATTATTCTAAATTAAGATATATTACAGAAAACTCTTCCTCGAGGAAGCATCAACTACATTTAGTGCAGGTACTTGAGTGGTTTTCAGCAACACAAGCTGAGAACTTCCAGAGTTGTCTGACTTTTAGTCAAGGTGGGTTTGATAAATGTTGGACCAGCTTGGCTCAGTGGGTGGAAGACTGAGAGTGCAGGTATTCTTTCTCCTTTACTTGTCCTTGAAAAGTTACAAAAAATGTGGGATATTTATAGTTTTATAAAGTACACAGTCCTTGCTCTCTTGCTGACAACTAATATTTTAATGCATTTTTGCCAAAAATGATTTTGCTTTTTTGTTTTTTTCAACAAACTGCAGAGAACATTTGGTCTCTCCTGCAGTCTAATTTACATATTATTATGCTTACTCCTAAAGTGAAGCACCAGTGGAAGGTGCAGCCACAAAATACAAAGCTTTTCACGTGCACATTCACTGGACTAAATACTAAAAGTACTACAGCCTAAAAACATGTGAGATGTATTTTTATGGAACATTCTCAAACTGAACTGTAAAAGTTGATCCTGACACACATGAAAAGTTGGTCAGTGTTCATTTTGGGTCCATACTGTGCGTTTTTACCCAACATATGAAGTCACGCTCTCTCAGATACATCAAGTATAGATACAGTGGACTCACCCTCTGGAGGTTCAGACATCGGGGGGTTGAGACAGTACATGTGATAGCCTCTATCGCAGTCATCACAAAACAGAAGCTGATCCTTGAAAAAATGGGAAGAAAAAACAATGGACACTACAATCATCTGTAAAAACACCCAGTGTTTACTATGTAACATCTAAATGCAGGTAAACTCACGTCATTCTCTGAGGTGCCGCACATGTTGCAGCACTTGCACTCTATGCACTGCCAGCGGTACGTCTTCACAGCAGCCATCATCACAGGAGTGAACTGCAGGCAGGACGGGTGGCCTGCACCAAGGAAGAAGGTTCAAACACTCCATACTTGGCCAAAATATTCCCATTTTCATTAATACATAAATAGTTTTTCTCCTGTTGTTCGTGCATTTCAGCATTCATACATAGGATGTACCTGAGCGTCCACAGTCGGAGCAGGACACCAGCTCTTCTGACTGGCCAGTCTTGTGATTAGTTTTGGAGTCTCCCAGGCAGAAATCACAGTAATTATTAGGCAACGCAAGACCATCTGGACCTTTCTTGGGAGCTGAGAAGGAAGATTAAAAACACCCAGAGTGTCTCAGTGTTTAGTTACTCAAAAGTCAAGCACTGACTGTCCAGTTGTGCACCGACTCCAGCTTATTATTATTGATGAAATCTCTGATTCAACCTTGAGTTCTTGTAACTCACTTTTCGGCTCCTCGGGCAGCGGCAGGGCAGGCTCGTTGATTTCCATGTCTTCCTTCTCGTCACCCTCCTCCTCAGCCAGGTGGGAGTGGGCGTAGTGGTAGCTCAGGCCAGGACGGTTCTTGTAGCGCTTCCCACAGACTGCCACCAAAACCACGAAACACAACATGGATGAATATGAAAACAAAGAACAAACAAGTCAAGTCAATGTTGCACACAGTCAGCAGTGAAAGGGGGATGGGGTGACTCATGGAAATTATTCTTTTGGGTGCTATCGTGGGTCATTTTACTTCTGATCAAGAAATACTATCAGTAGTGCTGAGGGTGATAGAAACCCTTTCTATTACTGGATCACGTCTGTTGTCCAGGTTTTCAGATTTTGTCTGTTAATGGTATCGTTTATGATGACAGAAGGATTTCAGAGAGCCTTCCTGTAATAAAGCCTTACAGCCTAATACTCCCTACATGAGCAGAGTCTGTTCAAACATTTACCTCTTGTAGTTGGAAAACATTCAAATAAGTAATGTGTCAATATTTTTACAGGTAGCAACAGCCAAGATGTAATTGCCTGTAAAGATTTAAAAGCAAATATCTACACGGACTTGAAAGGCCGCACAGGCAAACAGAACCAGACAGAAAATTCAATCTGCGCAACATCTGCTCTCATATGATGATTGAATAGACTTCAGCTGCTTATATGTGGTAAAATGATGATGTGTGGGGCAGAAGGGAAATCACTTCAGAACCCACCAGGCTCCTGTGGTCTCCCGCTTTTTGTTGGAAATCAAAAATCGGCACAATGACATGGTACACTGGCCATGAAATTAGAGTGAAAGATGAAGAATGATGAAGCCGTTTGGGGGAAAACGAAAAACATGCTCGGCTCGGAGGCGATATTTTGAGACAAGCGTCATCACATCCTTTTCGGTAGAAGCACAGCGTTGCGATAACATCTCAGTCACTCATGCGGCCACATATCTGCTGTTAGTAAATTAAATGTTTGTTATCTGAGCTACAATCTTTATAACAGAGGTATTAACTTTCTCAGTTTCAGACGAGTGCTTGAGGAGCACATAGGGTTTGACTAGAGAATAAATTAGGTATAAATAAAATATGAAATACAATGGTATGGTCTTACTTCCCCTAAAATATGACACGAAAGAGCCCTAAACTTTACTAGAATAATAATGTTTCTGGTTTGAATCATATTCTACGAATGTGTGTTGTAAGAGGAGCCAGTGGGATTGTGTAAGAAGGATTTTCTGACTGTAAGGAGAACAAAGAAGCCACTGTGTTGTCACAGGGGGTGTGATGTTTGTCATAAGATAACACTCAAAGATAGTACTTCTTCTTTCACTTCCATACTTTCTCTAATTTTCATTTCCTCAAAAGCCAAGTAAGCCTGTCTCCTCAACTGCCGTCTAAAAGACTAATTATTGTTTGGGGAAACATCTGAACCAAAGACACAATTAGTTACATGCCAAGTGATTTTTCTTTTTTCTTTACAGTGGCAGAAACTTTTAAAAATTATTCCCCCAAAAGGTCAAGCAGACATCAAACTGACTCAAAACTCAAGCAGAGGCACGCTTAAAACATGGAACGTGGAATGAAACTTCACAAGGTGCAGAGGTGGTGAAGAGGAAAAGAGCAAGGAACAAAACTGTAATGCAGTCAAACTGCACGCATTAAGTAGCAAGACAAAAGAAAAAGCACAGAGGGGGGAAAAAAACAGCAGAAGGATCCAACGTCTAGCTTATCTAAATCTAAGGGCCTAGGAGGGCCAGATTGAGAGGAGAAAAAGCTTATCTTGCATAAGCTGAGATGACTCATATACGTGCCTGATTACAGACTACAGTTTAATTGAGGTGTATAATAACATGCTACTGACCTTTTCCAAATCTAGTTAATCACATTAAGAAAACTGTGTCGGAAAATGAACAGAGCTACGCAAAGAGCACATCTACTTGGTAACACAGGGAGAGAAAAAAAAATCAGGCAGTGAAGACAAAGGACAAAGGCAGACTGGACTGAAATGAAATGAAGAGAAATATACCTCTTTCAGAAGGTTTTGAAATATGCTTTTGTTTGATAGTGTCTGAAAGAGAGAAGAGAAGGAGAAGAGAGAGCACAGACAGAGACTCAGAGAAATAGGCTCATAGACCGACCAGAAGAACACTCGGTCAGTCAGCAATGCCCTACAGACAACTGCAGCTGAAAGTGAAAATGCTTCTTTAAAAAAAAAAAAAAAAAGAGGAAAAATACATCAAGCAGTACAGATATGCAGTCTGACAACACCAAGGAAGTGGAAGAAACATTTCCTCCCCTCACGCCCGTGGACAGATTTAAAATGCAAGTTAAAGAAAAGCGTGATATCATAAAGACAGCTAAGCTCAGACTAAGCAAGATAAAAGTCAGATTTGAGGAGTGAAAGAGAATAGAGAAGATGGAAATACTGGAGAACATTAAGAGAAAGAGGAGAGGATGAGAAGAAAGCAGCTAGAGAGTGAGGACTCAGGTCTTGCTTGATTATATTATAAACATTACAGTGAATAACATCTGTCTGTGCTCCGCCTTGAGTTCACATGCTCTACTCTCGCCCATCAGGACTCACTATCACAGGCGTACGGCTTGTCTCTGTCCTCCAGTGCAGCTGTGTCCAGCTTCTTCCTGCTGCCGCCCACTCCTCGGCCCTGTGGACATTATTAGAGTCAACAGACGGGCTGGAAAAACACGCACACACGAGAGAGCGATGTACTCTATTAACAGCACTTGATTACCTTCCCCTTCCCTTTGCCTCTTCTTTTAGGCGTGTCTTCCTCATAGTCTTCATCGTCAAGGTCGTCCAGGAAGTCATCTGGCTCGAGGATTCTCTGTGTTGACAGCAAAGAAAAGTGAATTTTAAAAAAGAAAAGAAACATAAGTCCAGACATATCTTATGACTCATTTCACTTTTCTGCCTGCAGCACTCTCATATTTTACACAAAAGCTCAATAAAAACAAGAACCTTTCTAATCCGGGCTGCAGGGTTCAGGTTTCCGGTGTAATCACTCATGTTTGAATCCTCCTCGGACCCTCGGAGATCTGTGGCCGCCCGCTTGTCCAGAGAGTCCCCTTTCAGCAGGGCCTCCAGGCTGCTGCCATCCGATGACAACAGAGCATCCTTCTTCAGTCCTAAATCTATCTCTGTGAACAGAACGCAGTCGAGTCAAAATATAATCACAAAGGCAAACCACGAGATAGAATACTAGGCGTTTCTCATTTCTGATGCATACAATTGTCCACGCACATGGCTGAAATGAAGGAACATTTCTGGGTCTGAAATGTGTTTGAGGCTTAAAGGAATGACTGATTGGATACCTAAAAAAATACTACAGACAGTTTGGTGGTATAAGATTCTAAAAATAGCCTACATGTAGCGTGTATGCTAGCAGCCAGATGGATGACAGCTGTGGTGCATATCGCAACCCATTTGAGGAAAACAAGAATGCAAATCTAATCGTTTCTACATGTGAATCCTCACGTTAACTTGAAGGGTCAAAATGGTGGAAAATGCATTGTGTAGAATAGAATTCATCTTTATTGTTATTGTGAAATAACAATGAAAGGCAGGTTAGCAGCACTTAGCATTAGCAGCATGATCGAACAGAGAGTATCGAGTCAACACAAGAAAATAAAGTCATTACAAAAAAAAATATATAGAATAAAGATCAAATACAAGTGATTATGCACTGTGTAAAAACAAGAGTAAAGATGAAATTGCACTGTGTATAGTAAAACAAAAGAGCCGCTATCAAACATGAGGTAATCTACACACCCTATCACGCCCATAAAGAATATTTAGTGCACCCATCGTTCCAACGTTTGTTAGTCTCTGAACAGCGTGAGCATCATTAACAACCTACTGTTGTCAAACAACTGCCAAATGAGTCCACGGGATTGTGACAATGATATGAACTCTAAAACAACAGCCTATTCATTGCAATGCTTTCTCAAAGTTGCACTGACACTTCACTGAGCTAAAGCTGGACAAAGGATTTGTTAACAAAGTTGGTTTGCTTTACAAAAACAAAATGCATGGTTCCACTGTATTCACACATATACAGACCTGTTCCTGCTAGTGGCAGCTACAACAAATAAGTAAGAATATTTGTCCATAGACATGTTCCATTTTCAAACCCAGCACCGAGCTGGAGAACGTTAAACCACGCATACAGGTGTATAAAAAGTTACAGTGGATCAAACCAAATTAAATTCAAACAGAAGCATCTCCTGTTAATAAATTATCATATCAAAGAAAATGCAATGCATCTGTCGATTATATTTTTATCACCACAGAGTGTCAAATCTTGCGGTGTTTCTTAAACATGTGGAGAGCACAGCCTTTATTTCTGTACTAAAGGCTGACATGGTAAAATGGAAAACGAGCTGAACTGAGCCAGAAGCAGTTGTACCTGACTTGACAGGAGGAAAGATAAGCCTGGGGTCCTCTGGAGGGTGAGACCTTCGCTTCTTCCTCCACCTCCTGGATGGGTAAGTGTACAGCTGTCCTGGAGCCATGCCTGAGGGACGACAGGAGAAATCCATCTATACAACACCGAGCCTATTTAAATTCAGTGATACTTGTCAGAATTTTGACACACAGGTAGAAGAAACCCACACACTGTGGTATAGCTTCCTTAAGATGGCCTTTTGAGCCTTGTTAAAATTCTCATTTAAATTCCAGCGAGCACAACCAGCTGCCAGCAGATTAGATCATCAGCAGCGTGTTTGTTTGGAATTTTAAATATACTTGGTGTATATCTAAATTTTGGGTAGTTTACCTCCCAAAAGTTCACCCTGTTACTGGCTAAAGTTAGGATAAATTATGCCAGACTTGTTCAATTTGTTTTGAAAACTGTGAGGTAGTTTTTAGGTCCTTTAAGGTATTCTGATAAGCAATGGACTGTGATTTGGCTTTAATAAGACTTAATCTTAGCATCATTATTGTCACCATTTACACAACTCTTCTCAAAATTTTACAATCTTTCAATGAACTTATTGTCAAGCCCTAAGTGGCATTTCAGTTTTGTTTCTCACCTGGTCCTCTGTGTCTCTTTTCCATCCAAATATAGCAGTTGCTCTGAGCCACCCCGGTCTGAGAGTCGAGGAACGGCATTCGAACGCTCCTCTCAGCGCACAGCCTGGCATTGTAGTTGTGACACTGCTCCATGGCATCTCTGTAGTACTGCTCTCCCAGCCTGATGAAACAAAACCAGTGGCAGATGCTGGATATTAGGTCTATTATGGCTGAAAGACAAGAAGCAGCAGGTGCAGCTACTCCAAAAAACCAGTGCGGTCTCAGTTTAGTTTGAAACTACTCGTATTTCCCTGCTGCGCTGCCTGTTGCCTGTCGTTAGACAATGTGGTTGTACTTCAGACTAAATAATTAGGGAAAAGTGAAACAGCAGATGCTCTTTTGTTAGTACATCAACAACAAAGAGCTTGGTAGTCACAAGTGAGTTGTGTTTTCAGCATAAATATACGGCAAAAGTGTGGCGTTCTCTTTCAGGAGCGCTGAGGGCTGAATGTACTCCAAGTGAGACAGGCAAGCTCATGACAGAAATCCTACTGCTTCTTCAAAGTCTTGAATCCAGAGGGAATGAAAACAAACAGTCTTGTCATCCAACAACTGCAACTATTGAGGCTGTCAGGGCGCCCCGGAGCACTTTCCAGTACAACTACAGAAATAAGTTGTACTGGAGCAGTTGAGCGTCGACGCAGGAATGTACTATGGAGTTGTGTAGGAGTCGAAAAGTGGCAGCTCACAAACATACATTATCAATGAAAGATCTCATTATTTCAGTTTGCATAAGGCCACAAAACCACGCTGATAAATTAAGAAATTAGCTATAAACTATTACAATAATCGACAACTACTGTGATAATCTGTTTGAATGATTCTTTAAGGGGAAAAAAACAACAATCCTTCAAAATGATTTGATTCTATGCTCTAAAAGTTTAATACTTTCTGGACTTTATGGTTCTTTTTCTACTAAATAAACAAAAGGGATTTCAAATAAAGTTGTTCATCAGAGTTGGTGTTAGTCCAAATTTTGACACCAAGACAAATGACTGTATAACTGTTCTAATTACTGATTATCGCTCGACTTGATTACTAATAATCAGCGTCAGTTTTGGCTCTGAATACTGTTCGACTGCTGGTGAAGAACAGAATGGAAACCATCTATTCTCACCCTTCTCTTCCAAACAGTTACGGTTTCTAACTAAACTACCACTGCAACACCTACACAGACACAAACACTGTTTCTTCCCACAGGTCTTAACCCTGATGATCATTTAAATCAGCAAATAATGAATCCTTTTACCTCTGAAACATCGTATATCTAAGACATGCCAACATTTCATCCCAGCAACACGGTTCTCTCTTCCACTGCGTCCACCTCCCTCATGTGTATGTTTCAGTAACTCTTGGTAATAACACTATTTATTCCTGTATCATCAGAAGCTTCACAATTTGCACTGAATTAGGTCCACTTTTTCTTTACACATATCTGTAGCTGTACATAGTCACACTCATTTTTTCCATTAACCTGTTGCCCTTGTCTGGATGCACTCATTTTTGTGTGTATTCTAATTATTTCTCACCTCACCCTGATAACTACTTCTCTACATTAGTTTAAGCCTTGTTTTCCAACTTCTCATCAGGAATGTATGGACTTGAAGACACCATACTTTAGATGCCTTTGATGGCTTTTAATTATTGGGTAAAGCAACCACTGCAGACAGGGACAGTTTTAGAGGCAAATTAAATATTTAGCTAGTTGTCAGCTGAGTTTTATATTGTTATACGTTTCCCTGGCTACATGAGACACACGAGCTGCTTCCAATCGCCATAAAACGCCTGTAAATAGTGTCTGACATGAGCCACGGTTTGGGTTCAGGTCGCAGCAGCTACACGAAACAAGACAACGGAAATGGAAGCACGTTTGCGCACAGCCGGGTTCAGCTCATCGACACATTAAACTTCCAAAGAGTTACTGTAAGAGACTCCCGTATGTTGTGGCTACGGCGGCTGTGACCCCGGAGAGTCGGGATGAAAGTCCTCGAGTGTTTCATTCATTGTAAACTCGTCGCCACAGACCTCCAGCCTGCGCTAACAACGTTGGACACAATTACACTCTTTAGCTCGTTAGCCGCCTAGCTGCTCCACTCCACTGACGTTAGCACCGCGACGGTCGTTCGGCTACAAAGACAAAACGACAACTAACCGTAACATCGACACAAACGCACTCACAATTACCCAGACTCGTGCTCTACTACACAGACTTCATGTTTCACAAACGTCAGCTGCGTTGTCTGCTAACTTACACTTCCATTCCAGGATGTGAACAGACACGACGGTCCCACACCGTCGGCTAACCTCACTAAGTCACTCAGAGTGTGGCTAAGCTAGCTAGCGACGGAGCCGGCGGCTGGGAGACTCCGCAGCCGTTAGCAGGTGACCGAGGAGTGTGTCACCTGCGCAGGTGGAAGGTATGTAGAAAAGTCCAGCACTTACAGTTTGACAACATTCTCAACAACAGCTGCCATCTTGCTTTAATACACGGGGAAAGTGGCTGCCGGGTAATGTGTGCCCTCTGTCAGGACTTGTAGGCGGACGGAGCAGGAACAGCGACCCTGGCGCCCCCTAGCGGTGACACTGCGCCACTGCTGGAGATTTTATT